TCGTCGTGGCTGCAAGACGATCTCGTCGTCATCATTCCTGCCAGAACAGCACTTCGGCTCACGCTGTTGCGTGCTCGGGGCGCGCGCGCTTGAGCGCTCACGGTTTCCCCGCCGGTTCTGCAGGCAGTTTCGAGAGCCGCGGGGGCGCTCTCGATTGCCCTCGCCACCACGGCTTCCCTCGCACAAGCGGCGGCGGAGGGAGCCCGAGGGCCTGCCAAGGGCCCAGGGCGGCGGGCCTGCCGCGGCAGAAGCCGAGCTCGCCGTGCGGCGGCACGCCCTGTGTTCCCCAGCATAGCCATGACGGTGCGAGGGGAGCGCGCCTCGGGGCCCGCGCGCACGCGCTGCTCGGGCCGAGGGGTGCCAGGAGGGCCCGGGAGGGCAGCACGGCGCAGCAGCTCTCGGAGGTCCGCGCGGACCTCCGAACGTGTGTGCCCGTGCCGTGTCGTCTAGGGGGACCCCCAGGACGTCCGTCGCTTCTGGTGTGGGAGCGTCGTGCTCTTCAAGAGCAGAACCGTCGAGACCCGAGAAAGCCCAGTGCACCCTGGGGGCAAGCAGGGTGTTTCTTGGCATGGGCCTCAACTCTAATCGCACATTCCCCCTCGAGCACCCACAAGAAGGCCAGCGTCGTCGTCGTCGTCGGCGTCGTCGTCCTCGTCCTCGTCGTCCTCGTCGTCGTCGTCGAGAGCACCCACAGGCAGGCCAGCGCGGCGAGCGGCATGGCGGCAGCGCGGCTGTCCCGCAGGCGCGGCAGGGCACGGCCGCGCGGCGGGCGGCCAGGCTGCCCGCGCCAGCGGCGCGCAGAGCGCGGCGCGTCCTGCGCGGCGCACGAGGCTCCGCCCGCCGCTCCGGCAGCGCCCAGGCGGCGAGCGGGGCGGCCGGCCGCAGGCGGCAGGCGACCTCGAGGAGCACTGCCACGGCGGGGAGGCAAGCGAGGAGGAGAGCCCCGCGGAGCCGTGCCCCGGGGGCGAGGCGAAGCCGGAGAGTGTGGCGGCTCCCCAACGAATGTGGACGGCGGCTCCACGACGCTATCGATGGGCCGACTGTCCACCAGCATCACTACCACGGGTAGGACGGGGGAGAAGGGAGGATGGGGAGGTCAACCTCCTCCTCCTCCTCCTCCTCCTCCTCCGCCTCCTCCTCCGCCTCCTCCTCCTCCTCCTCCTCCTCCTCGCTCTCTTGCCTATGGTAGCGGTTTTGTGGGAAATCGGCCCATCAACTTTAACCTTCTAGAAGAAGGCGAGGCAGGGGAAGACGACGACGACGACCAGGAAGGGCCGCGGGCGCCTCTGAGGCTCGCGAGGCGTCCAGGCAGGGGCGCCCACGGCAGGCCGAGGCGCCGCTCGCCCCGAGCCCGCGGCGGTGGCGGGCTCCAGCGGCGCGCGCGGGGACTGGGCCGAGAGCCCAGGGAGGCGGGGAAACGCACGCACGGTGAGGCTCACGGCGGCGACGGCGGCGGCGGCGAGCAGCAGGAGGAGCTCGGCACCACGCGTCTCGGCCGCGCCGTCTGGCCGGCGGCGCGGAGGAGGGCGGCGTGTTCCAGCAGCTCAGCGAACATCAGCAGCTCGAAGAGGACGGCCAGCCGAACGACCAGCACCAGCAGCACGGCTGGGCCCTCCAGCAGCTGGACCGACCAGAAGCAGCTCGGAGAGGACGGCAATCTGAACGACCAGCTGGAAGATGGCGACAGCGAGGACGGGCACCAGGAGCAGCTCGGCAGACACGGCGCGACCGAAAGTGTTGATCGCTTTTGGCTGCTCGGGGGCATCCTTGGGTGGATTTCGGGCTAAGATCCCTCCGAGATGCCCTAAGATGGCCTGCGAGATTGCACAAGTTTGTGCAAGTTGGCGCACGAGGGCCTCCAGCATGACTCAAAGAGGCCCGAAGAGGGTTGAAGTTGAAGTGGCCCCATGGACTGCCAAGGACGCTCCCGAGAGGACAGAATCCTTCAAAGGCATAGGGTGTTTAGCTGGGTTGTGTCGCCTTGCCTTTTCGCTTCCGATGGGCCTCAGAAGCCTCAAGATAACTCCAAGATGGCGCTAGAAAGCCTCAATTTGGCCCCGAAGGGCCCCAATAGGGTTAAACATGTCCCCACTGCGCCTGATAGCGCAGCAGGAACGTCCCAACAACGTGCTCCAGAAGAGCAGTGCTAATCGACGCCTCCCCCTGTCCTGAAAGTTGGCCGCAAGACGGCCCCAAAGAGGGCCCTAGGATAGCCCTAAGAGGGCATCCAAAGCTCTCAAGAAGGCCATCAGAGAACCTCAAGTGTTTAATGTACAGGGGGTTATCCGACATGATCCCAGCCAGCCCAAAATATCACGCCCTTCTTGAATTCCAGCGGTGTCCACCCGCCCCCCTCTCCCACCGCTTCTCGCCTCCCTGATGTTCCGTTTCGGCACCATCGTCCTCATCGTTCTTGTCATCGTCGTTGTCCTCCTCTTTCACGGTCCTCATCCCCTTCTTCTTATTCTGATGATTAGTATGTGTGTTGACTATTTGGTTG